AAACTCAACTCCAAAAGTTTCTCCCAAGTTGATGGGAGCACAAGTTGATGACCAAGCCTTTACCATATAAGCCTTTGGAAGACATTTAAGTTCCAAATCCTAACAGTACATCTTAAATATGGATTCTCTGGCTATATTTAGTTTCACTGAAAGGTACATAAAATATTGCAAGATCAAATTTTCTCACCCTCAGAAAGAAAGAGACTGTCAATACCACTGCATGGTGAGAAGCATGTAACTATCATTTGGTATTTATATTTAACACTTAAAACCACTCAGTTATTCTTTGAAAACACAATGTCCATTTAAGACTTACAACTTGGGCAGACTGTTTAATATCACACCATCTCTGTAGCAGTTTTAAGGACTCTTGAGATGCTTTCAACTTATGAATATCTGAGGAAAATACCTGCAGAAAGAGCCAGAAAGTCCCCTGAAAGAGAAGGCTGAGATTATTTTGGATTTCACTTTCACTCACATTTTCCTCTGAAAAAGTTGCTGCTTATGAACTAGTTTCAGCAGCAGGTATGCAAGGGCAGAAACAAAAGAAATCTGTAGAAACAGGAGGGAGGTTTCCTACAATCATGTCCGTTTTCAACCCTAAAAGACTGACGCCTTCTAGTGAAAAAACATCTGGTTACTGAGCATACCTATCTGGCTATAACTAAGAGCACCAGAACTAAAAAGTAGGAAGTAAACAACAAACAATGAAAAAAACCAAAACCAAAACCAAAACAAAACAAAAACCCTACTGATTACAAAAGAAATTCTAGCTTTTGTTGTAACCTTGGAATAGCAGCTCTGGTTACCATTCATATTAGGACAGAGCAACTTATAAAATAAAATAAAAGGCTAGGTAAACAGAAACAAGTTCAAGTGACCAAAACATGCTTTTCATAGGTCCACCACCTTCTTCAGCCTTCCAGTTTGCCTGAGAGTACACAGAAACTCCTTTCCTAGAATACTTTGTAGGCCTTAGCCCATTGCTTTCTTCCCAACTTGGTTTCAGCTAGAACATTCAACTTGTTATCTATTGTATCCTCTTCCACACCTAATGAAAGGTTTCCTTTAAACAAAGGGACAGAGTATGAAAATTATTGCAGGAAGTTATCCCTAATTTGAACTACATAGGATTAAACAAAATATGAATGTTAGCTATATCTGGCCCAAACTTATCCCTTTAGTATAAATAGCATTATTTAAAAAAACTTAAGGCTTTTTGCAAAATCAACTATGGTTAGGATTACGCTATGGGGGTAACTTGATCCAGAGTGATGCTGAAAGCTCAATCCAGATACTGGTTTCTATTGCAATGATTATCTCCCCAATCACCAGTCTTTATCCAGAAATTCAGATGTAGAAGTTTAATCAACAGTTCTAAAATGTCTGTTCAATTAAATATGCTATTAAAGGGAGCCAAGAGAGGGTATCCCTAGCTCAAACTTAATAACATTAGTAACTGGATGAAAGAGAAATTAAGAAAACTATCCCATTCATAATAGCCTTAAAAAAATAGAATACTTGGGAATCAATCTAACAAGAGGTGAAAAAACCTCTGCAGCGATAACTACAGAACACTAAAGAAATTAAAGACGACCTTAGAAGATGGAAACATCTCCCATGTTCTTCGACAAGCATATTATCAAAATGCACTATACAGATTTAATGTAATTTATATGACATTCTTCATAGAAATAGAAAAAGCAGTTATGAAATTCATTTGGAAAAATATGATGTCCAGAATAGACAAACAATCCTCATCAAGAGAATCAGGAGACATCACAATACCAGACCTCAAATTATACTACAGAGCCATAGTAACAAAAAAGCATGCTACTGGCACCCAGACATGAAGGTCAATGAAACAAACAGAATAGAAGACATAGACAGAAAGTCACATAAACACAGTTATCTTATATTAGACAAAGGTGCTATAAACACAAATTGGAGAAAAAACAGCCTCTTCAACAAATGGTGTTGGGGAAACTGGAAATCCATACATAGCAGAATGAAATTTAACCCCTCTCACCTTGCACAAAACTCAAAGTGGATCAAGGACCTAGGCATTAGACCAGAAGACCCTATACTGACCAGAAGAAAATGTAGGCCCAACTCTCCATTTTGGCTTAGGAAATGACTTCCTTAATAAGACTCCAAAATGCAAGAAATTAAATCAAAGAATCAATAAATGGGATGGTATAAAACTAAAAAGCTTCTGCACAGCAGAGGAAACAATAAAAAATGTGAAGAGAGAGCCTACAGAATTGGAGAAAATTTTTGCCACCTGCACCTCAGACAGAGCATTAATTTCCAGGATATATAAAGAACTCAAAAAACTTTTAACACCAAAAAAACACAAATAATCCAATCAATAAATGGGCAAAGGAACTGAATAGGTACTTCTCAAAAGAATACAAATGGTCAATAAATATATGAAAAAAATGTTCAACTTCTCTAGCTATTAGAGAAGTGCAGATTAAAACTACACTGAGATTCCATCTCACTCCAGTCAGAATGGCAATTATCAAAACCACAAGTAACGATAAAGGTTGATGAGGATGTAGGGAAAAAGGTACATTCATACATTGCTGATGGGACTGCAAATTGGTGCAACCACTCTGGAAAGCTGCATGGAGATTCCTTAGAAAACGGGGAATGGAACTAACATCACTTGACCCAGTTATCCTACTCCTTGATATACACCCAAAGTACTTAAAATTAGCACTATAGTGATACAGCCTCATCAATGTTTTTAGCAGCTCAATTCACAACAGCTAAGCTATGGAACCAACCTAGGTGCCCTTCAACAGATGAATGGATAAAGAAATGTGGTATATATACACATGGAATATTACTTGGCCATAAAAAATAACTTTATGACCTTTGCCAGTAAAGGGATGGACCTAGAGATCATGCTAAGGAAAATAAGCCAATCTCAAAAAACCAAAGGCTGAATGCTCTGATATGTGGATGCAAAAATACAATATGGGGAGGAGAGAAGAATAGTAGTTCAGTGATTTAGACAAAGGGGAATGAATGAAGGGAAGGGAGGGTGATAGGGAATAGGAAAGACAGTAGAATCAATCAGACATAACTTTCCTATGTCATATATGCATACGCCACTAATGAAACTCTACATCATGTACAATCACAAGAATGGAATCCTAATTACAGTAAGTTATACTCCATATATGTTTGTCAAAATACATTCTACTGTAATGTTTATCTAAAAAAAATAGAGTAAATAGCTGAAAATAATTAAATGTCTCTCTCTCTCTCTCTCTCTCTATATATATATATATAAATGTATGTATGTGTGTGTGTGTGTGTGTGTATTGTGTAAGATTCACAAGTCTCTGATTACTTATCTCAAATGCACAATTCAGAAAATGGGTAGAACTTCACTCATTCTATTTAAATCTGTCAATATTTCTTCTGTATTTGTAATAAGTTTCTAAAACAGACAATTATTAAAAGAATAAAACCAAAACTATAAATTTAGCAACTAAAGAGGATAGTTTGCTGCCATGCAGTGTTCATCATACGAATTTAACTTGACTTTGAGACTACAGTATTCCCAATGTGGGAATTTAGTTTACACATCAACAGAGATAAAAAATAAATAAATAAAATAAAAAATTCCAGAATTGTTCACTATTCTTTTCATGAGAAAAATCTACTTCTTTCTAATTAACCATACAAACTATAACTTCTAATAGTCTATTATTCTTTAAAGAAAAAAAAGAAAAGAAAGAAACCAAAGAGCAAATAAACAAAACCTCACATATATGAAAATTATGACCAAAGCAGACTTCCAATATTTTTCTACTACTGGAAAAATGCAATAAATGCAATTGTACTAAAGGACGCTATATCTCTTTATGAATCCCAAAATTTGAGAAATCACATAGTATCCCTGTAAGAATTAAAAGTAAATAAATACAAAGGGAAAAAGAGAATAGACATATTAAAAATTTGACTCTAATTCTAATTAACTATGAGCTTACTGGCATAAACCAATAAACACAATAACTGAAAATGTGTTTTGGCACTATAAAAAGCTTTCCACCAGTTAAATTCAACTGTCTATAATCACATTTAGTCTGGAAGCTTAGGCTAAGAGCTTAGGAAATTTATTGTATAGTTTGTGATGTGACCATAAAATATCACTTTACTTCAAACATACCAATATTTGGCCTGTAGAATGCCCATGACATTTTAAAATCCCACAAAATGTTAATTCTGGGCAATATTTTTAATAAGAAAAAAAACTTTAAAAATTCTAAAGGCATAGAAAATCAGGATAAATTCATTTTAATTGTGGAAAAAAAATTTAATGGGATTTTAAACTATCAAATCTGTTTTTCCCCTTATGAATACAATATACAACTATTTCTTTATGACAAGTCTATGAACACCATAAATAAAATTATTATTCCTATCATGGTTTATAATTTAATGAGTCCCTAACATTACCTTAGCCAACAACACAGGTAACCTGCATTATACCAGATATATTAAATAGCATTCATCCAAAAGCTCTGAAATATAGAACTGACGTCTTTCTGCATTTGAAACTTAATGGCTTTTGAGGTGGAGGAAAAACTAAAGTATTTAAAGACACCACAACATCTTAAAATCTGTAATGAAAGGGAAAAATTATAAATACCAATTAAAACTCACAAGTTATAATAATGTGAAACAAATTTGTCATTTTAGCTGATTTTCAATGTTTACACATGCAACATAAATTACAAATATGCTTAACATTATATCATCAAAAGTAAATAATGAAGTATAAAATATTTATCAGATTATTGCATTTAATGTCATTTTTTTTGAAAACCCAAAATTTCATATTCCTTAATGTTCTACCAAACATAAGCAAAACCAGTCCAAATTAGAGAAAACGTATGCCAACATCAGCTTCTGACAACAAAGATAAAGAAGCTGAAGCTCTACAATTTATCTAATTTAGGTCAGGTAATAATGGAAACAAAGAATATTAAAATTATTTATTTTATAATTATGCACATTGAAGGAAAGCATAATAGCAGAGTTCTTTTCCATCATAAAATTATTTACAACCATTAATTTAGCTAGAAACACTAGCTTGAGAGGTACTGGTATATTCCATTCGTAATAATTTCTCTACAGCAAACAACTGTCTTATATTTGGAGCATGTTGAAGAAAATATTGTCTCATAAGTCCTTTTTGTTCTTTTGAGTCTTAATTACTAGGAGTTCAAGGTACTTTGGGAGAATTCTGGTGTCCTGGATGGCCTGATGAATGCACTGAAATTAAGCAGTGTGTTTGTATTCTGAAAATATTCTTAAATCCAAATAAATGATGTCTGGGTTGTGGAGCTCAGATTTCTCCTACTGGCACTATGACATTTGAAGAACATTTGTTATGAAAGTTTCACACCAATTTTATTTTGTTCTTTCTTCATTAGCCTCTGTGCTTCCTTTTCCATTTTCTTCCTCTGTTGTTCTGCTGCTCTCTTTTCTCTGTCTGCTATTTTCTGCTGCCTGAAGAAAAATATATGATATCTTTACTTTTAGAAAACACCAAAAGGGAAAAATGGCAAATAAATTCCAGAAAGAAATTATACTGTTTTTTCCACCATCATAAAATAAAACACTTGATTTTCTCACTGCTTAAAAAATTTCAAAGATTTCCATAAACAGAAATTTCTGCTGATCCTTAGAACTTAACTTGCAAAATAAAAGAGATATTATCTATTTTACAAATAAGTAAAATGAGACATAAAGGCTAAGTGGTATGCCCAAAATCAATAAGTACATAATATACATCTGCACAGTGGCAAACATGCCTGTTATCCGAGCAGCCTGGGAGGCTGAGGCAGGAGTATTCAAAGTTCAAAGCCAGCCACAGCAACTCAGTGAGGACCTAACCAATTTAGGGAGGCCCTATCTCAAAATAAAAACTAAAAATGGCTGTGGATGTGGTTCAGTAGTTAAGTGCCCCAATGTTCAATCTCTAGTACCAAAGGTGGGTGAGGGAAGAATCTACATCTTTTTACCTTTCTTAGGTTATCTGTACTAAGATACTACTTCCATTCAACCACAGCTTTTTATGGGAATATTATTCAGAAAAGTTTGATATTGAGGATAAAATCTTGTTATTATAATAGTTTAAAACAATCAGGTAAAGGATGTTAAAAACACAGTTGTGCAGAATACTCCCTGTAAGAAAATAAAAACTTAAGACATACCTTCCACTTAGAAGTTAGAAATCTATTTAAGGATTAACTTTTGATCAGCTTTATTATGGGGCATAGTGGTGGGTATTTGCTAATTCCACATTATGAATACATATCTTCTCCTTAGCCCCTTCCATAACTCCACTAGCCCAAAACCTCTCTAATCTGTGGACTGACTTATGCAGGGAGTGGGGGGGGGGGTAGGACTGGGTGAAGAAACAGGAAGAGAAGGACCATAAGTTGGTCCTGAATCTGAAGAGTTAGGGTGTGAGAAAATAACTCAAGCATGCAAGGTTAAGGAAGGAAGGTGTAAATCACAACGGGGCATGGGATAGGTAAAAAACACATTACCTATATATGGTACCATATATACAATTTAATTATCTATGGTACCCTTTTTACAACTTAAAAGCTGAGTATAGTGAGCAAAATGTATATATACATACAGTTCTAAATCATACTTACAAATGGGAGTAAGAGAAACATTTTTGGAACCATTTTGACTGTCACTATGTACTAAACTAAGCTTAGAAAGAACAAAATGACTTTATTATCATTACTTAACTAAGTTTCTAAAGAACAAAAGTGAATCTACTTTTCCCTACCTCTGGCTCACTTGCATGAAAAACTGATAATTTGCACAAAAAACCAACACATTAGCAGCAAAAAAGGAGATAGGAAAAGAACTATAAAGGGTTGGAAAGGTTATAAATAAATACAATAATCAAGCTTTGACCTGGTTATTAGCTAAAGTAAAAACATCAACAACTACTGTACGCACACAAAACAATTTATAGATCGCTGTACATAAAAAATATATTTCACCTCTCCAGATTAATGTCTGGAATTGACAAAGTACTAGCTTCTCACTTTAACAATACCGATCATAATACTAGAGTATTTTAAGGTGTAAATGGGAGAAGTCTGAGAATAAGAGGAGATGGCATATGGACATAACTTTTACATTGCTGTTTTTCTAGGAGTAGCAATGACACATGGAAACCTTCAAGTCCCTTCAGTTGAACTTGTGCAATGTGCAGCAGGAAGCATGTCTTTTATTGACAACAGTCTCACTCTCTGAAGCTGCTATTATAATGCAAAATTCTATTATTATTATTTTTTTTAATCTGTTTGGTTTCAGAAGCAAGAGGACAAGATGGAAGAGAGGTTCTGGTACTGATACTTATGAGTTCATGGCACAAATTATACAAACTATCATTAAGATGAATGGATTCAAAATGAACTGCTTTTTCCTTTATCCTTGGCTAATGGTACTAGTAATCACTAAATCCTCCAAATTTTCTAAAACACTGTGAATTTTGAATCTATGACTAATTTTAAAAACTGAATTTATTATGATCCTTGCAACATAACTGTTACAGCCCACAGTTAAAAAAAAAAATTTCTTTTACAAAAGACTAAGCTATCCTGACTAAGCAGGCACTAAATATTAAAAACTCTTACAATCTTACTGACTGAATATTAAAATGTGACCACCTTACCTGTCCAAGAAAACACAAACAAAAATGACATGCTGAAAACATAAAGGACAAGATAAAAACAGCAGCAGTAACTTTCAGCTATTTAATTGCACCCTCTGCTGGTTATTAAAGATAATTGTAATTTACCAACAAAGACAAGAAAGGAAAAAACAAAAATAAAATCTGTTTAGATAATGATAATTCATTTTCTGTCCCTATGATAAAAACAATCTGAATTTCAAAATACAAAAAAAAAACCCATTGTAACTTATTATGTATTTTTAAATGCGTAAGTAAATTAAGTACATTTAAATGAATTTTAATCATCGATCATAATCATAAGCTCTCCTTTAAGATAATTTTCTTGTCACTCTTTGACCTAATATAGAAATAACAAGAACTCAATTTACTGCTCACAAAAACAAAGAAAGAACCATCAACAAAAATGAACTTTAAACCCTCAGAATAGCATTTACTTTTCTGTAGGATAGGCAGATTATAACTTCTCCACTATGTTCAAGAGCTTTCACTACACTAAACTTTGAGGATATTAAGAAAAAGTAATCAATTCTGACCCACAAAAAATATACAGTGGTAGTTCACATTTCATAGTACAACATAATGATTACAAAAGTTATTTGTATGTAAAAGATTTCCCTTGTTCTTAATACAATTATATTATTTTATTTCTATAAAGCTTTAATTTTTGGTATCATTACAAAATAGTGTATGCAGTCTGAGATACAGAATAAGCTCATGTTAGATATCTAAGATTAAATGAGGAAAAATGAAGATAAGACAGACATTTGACAGAACAGGCCTCCCTGATCTTAAACACAATGGGGAACAAATCTACTACTCAGGTTGTGATATAAATATCACTCAAATACCTCAGAACTTCTTCTGCTTGCCAGGCTGCATCTTCTTCTTCTTCCCATGCATTGGTATTTTCTTGCCAGGTATCTAAGTCACCTAATTCAGACTAAATTAAAAACAAAGCAAAACTAAGACAATGCAGAGCCATCTTTTCTCCACACAGCAGACAAGAGTATCTTCTAAAACATTCAAAACCTGTCACTCTCCTGTGGTTTCTGAACTTCTTTACCATGTCTTCTACAAAACACAAATGATCTGGGCCTTGAGTTGCCTAGAACTTTTGGGTTTCCTGAAGTTACAGGACTTTCAGTGCTAAAAAGTCTTGGGCAAGTTCAGTTTTCTTCCTATATTGTTTTACAGGATACTATTTTATATGGAATAGTTTCCAAACTAGCATAGTCATCTTCACCCAAGCATATGTAATTCTGTAATTAGTAGATTTGTTCAGTTCCACTTACTATCTCTGTCTTAGGCAAAAATTTCAAATCAGGAAAAATTTATCTTACCTAGAATACTATTTCTTCCTTTTTTCTGCTCTACATAACTGATATCATCAGGCTCCTCACTAAATTCTACTATTCCCCAATTCAAACCTCTAAAAGTTTTCCTCCCACCCCCTCAATGCCCCCAGTGTTCCAAGAACCAATAAAACTGAGATGTTTAGTTAGGTGTGGAAGTGATAATATGTATTAACGGGTAACAAACTGCAAATTGATAACATTGTTTTGAATACTTACCCCATTTAAAAAAAATGTTTTGAGTTTCTTTCCTTGACAATAAAAACAATAACATCCTGTTAAATATTCCTAAAATGTTTCTGATTATCTGTTTGGTATGTTTATAGAAATAAAGCAGTTAACATAAAAGAAGCATTTTTAAAGATACTGAAACAAAATACAGATGACACTCTTGAAAAGTTGTCCCTACTTAATCCTCTTCACAGCAGTTGGTAGAAGTCTTGGTTTCCTTATACCTTTGTCAATACTGATAATGGCCTTCTTTTCTACATTTGCTAATTTGATAAAACTTAAAAAGGGTGTCTTGTCATTTTACTCTGAATTTCTTTGAGAATCAGATCAAACTTTTCTTCATGTTTTTAGGTTATGTCTATTTCTTATTTGCAAATTTTACCTTCATACTATTTCCCAATTTTTCCAACTGAGGTATTTTGACTATTAGTATAGGTACAACATTTAGATATAAGAAAAGTAAAAGTATCAAGATCATATTAATAGAGATGGCCTTCCAAGTAAAATAGAAAAGATTGAAAAGGATTAGATAGATTTGCCTACACAAAAATTAGATTCATCTGCCCATCAAAAAACATCAAACCAAACTATAGTTAAGGACTGAAAAAGCATAAAAGACAGAAAAAAGTCGATATTCTTAGTATAAAAAGAATTCCCATAATACAAATGATAAATTTCATTAATTTTACAAATCAGACTTCATTTAAACTGAACATTCTAAGATAATTTTGGTGTAGAGAACAAAGTCCAGTTGGTTAGTATTCTTTCCTATGCAATCAGTTCCCCTTGACTTTATCTGCTTTGGAAAAAAAAATATGTAACAACAGCATTGGAGAACTCCTTCATCTACCCACGTACCACACTCTTCACTCTCCAAATGGTTGTATATTTTCAACTTTACAATGAGCTCTATAAGAATTATAACAACAATTGTAATTAGAATTAGAATTATAGTTAGGCAGTAAACATTATTAATTCTCTGGTTAGAACTAAACCACTTTACCAATATGAATAATAAAGTTTAAAACTGAGAAATGGACAAAATTAAATATTATAATGCTATGTTATTCAGAGATATATCTGTGATGTTACTATGCTCTCATTAAAATATCTATGACATTATTATATCATGTAACTGCACAGGAGTTATCAAAATTCATAATTACATTTGTGGATATTGTGTATATGATTAATTATTTGATATTATGTCTCCCCCACTAGAATACATCCTTCTGAGGCAAAGACCCTGCCTGTTCTGCTTGCTTACCACTGTATTACTAGCATCTAGCACAGAGTCTGGTATTAGCAAGAATAGCTGTTGATCAATGAATTCAAAACATGCATAAACATGGATCTGCTAGAAAAAACAGCCTCAAAAAACACACTCATTTTCTGTCTCTCCAGATTACTTGTTCTTGGAAAATCAGCAGTTATGGCATGAGGAAATTCATGGGAAGGAACTGAGGCTTTGTGAAAACAAGTATCATTAATTTGCCAGGCATGTAAGAAAGACTCCTTTGAAATGAATCCTCTAAGTCCAGTCAAGCCATTGTAGCCCCAGTGCAACGACTTATTCACAAACTCATTAAAAACCCTGAGCCAGAACCATCTAATTTAGTCACTCTGGACTGCTGATCCACAGAAACTTTATGAGATAATAAATGTTTATTATTGTTTCGAGTCACTAAATTTGGGGTCAATACACAACAACAGGTAATTAATATAATCAATCAAAGCATCCTTAAGTTTAGGGAGGAACCTAAGTATATGTATTTTTTTACAAATTCTAAAACTGATTCTAATAATGTTCCCAAGGTTGAGAGCCTCAGTTGTCCACATTCTTCACTACTTCTTTTCTTTTAAAATTTTCATTTACATAAAATATATTTTAAATGAAACCACATTTTAAATGTAAATAAACTCTACTAGGGAAACAATCCATAACTCACTTAAAACTAACCTGCTATAAAGGTTTATTATCTTAGAAATAATCTCCTAAAGTCCATGTTTTTAAATAACATATTTTGTCTGTATCTTTCATGTATACAATGGGATCCTGATATTAGTATTTGAGTAATTTGTACTCTTATAAAATGATAGAAATGGTGAAACTACAGATTAACTTCTTGCAAACTGCTAAATCTGTTTCAAAGTCATAAAAATTATAAATATTATTTTCATTTAGTTATTTTCCTCTTCCTTACAGAAAAAAGAAACAGAACCAAGTCTTTCCCTCTAGCTAATTAACATACTTACAGATTGGTGAATAAAAGGCATATCTTGTGTAGCAGCTAATCTACTGGAGAAACCTGTGCTACCATCTGGGACGCCAAAATTTAATGGTTCTCTCTTCTTAATGATGATCTGAAAGATTAGTTGAAATAAGATGATAGGGATATTTTACACAGAACTATATAAAAATAGACAAATAAATGTCCCAATGCGTTTTGTAATATGCTGTTGTTCTTTTTCAAAAAAAATTTAATGTAATTAAAAAATACGCTGTTGTTCTTTTTCAAAAAAAATTAATGTAAAAAAATAGTCTACAGTGAGTATCCAAATTCTCAGGCAACTGTCACATAGATCAGTTCAATCTAAGAAAAATTTTATTTTACTCCTTAAAAATAAAAAATTCTCATCTCCATTTTTCCTCATCCACTTTCCCCAGAACTCCAAAATATAATCAGGATATTTAATTACTATATTAAATAATAACATTGATAATGTCCTGCTAAAAGTATCACCAGATCCCTCAACATCTGGGCTAGCTATAAATACAGTAACTCATTTGGGTCAGTAGTAGTAAGACACTCTTACTTGAGTTTTGGTTACTTTTATTAAAACCATTTCCAATCTAATTAATTTTAAAAAGTACTATTATAATAAATATACTAAATTATTATAAAGAACAGCAATATACTTCCATGATACAAAGTGTACATCTACTAAGACACTTAAAGGATCTTTGAAAAATACACAATTTAATGCTTTTCAGTTTTGAGCATTTGGACAATTCAAAAAGGACAATGTAAATTTTATTAACCTAGATAATATAAAAATAAATGTATAGCTAAAATTAGGTAGAAGAGAGTGAGGAAATGCAGTAGGAAGTGGAGAATAAATAATGTCCTCATTTTATAAAGTGTATATATATACATATATATGAAAAAGTTTCCTTATTGGATTGAATAAGAAATGAAGCACTAAAAGTGTGCTTATCTGAAATAGAAGAGTGAAATAAGATTGCAATATATATGAAGGAATTAAAAGAAATAAGAACAATTTGAAATAAATCTTCATTTACTATAGTGTGTTACATTAATGGGTAATGTCCGTGATTTGTAAATCAAATACCAATGTATGATTTTAAAGTCTTGAGGATATAACTTACTACATCTAGATCTAAATCATCTGAACATAGGAAATTCTTATTTAACGTGACAGAAAATAAAATTATAATGAAAAGTAGGCTTTTCAATAAATACTAATTATATTATATTGTCTAATTTAAAAGTGCAAATCTTTAACATACTTTCTGAGTTTTCCGTATAGTTGGTGTCATGTCCTTAAAATAGTCAGGTTCCATTTGTTCCAAAGCATTCTGTTGTGTTGCCACATTCCCATTCCCTCCTTCAATCTTCACACTTGTGGGTGCATCTTCATCCCAGGAAGTCCACTCTTCCACATCTGTCTAAATAACCAACACAGTCAGCCACAAAGGGGCAATGCACTCAGCAGTTCATTAATCATTTATTAGAAAAATGGGCTTCTGAAAACACTGGTTTTCAAACTTTTTTGACCCATGGGAAACTACATAGTTCAATTCACATACCAAAACTAAAACAAATATTGAGGCTGGGGTTGTGGCTCAGCTGCAGAGTGCTTACCTAGCACATGAGGGGCACTGGGTTTGATCCTCAGCACCACATAATAATAAATAAATAAAATAAAGGTATTGTGCCCAACTACACCTAAAAAAATATTTGAAAAATAGAACAGATGTTTAAGAAGTACTTTTATTATGGATAAACCTTCTAAAATATTCTGTTCTGTTCTATTGTGCTCTATTCTTTCCATTAAAAACAAAACACAAAGTAAAAAGAAAAAGAAAATACTCTGAAAACTGAACCAACATTAGGAGTATAGCTCACAGGAGGAGGACTGGAACTTTCCATCTAAGTCTAACCAAACTGATTACTTTATAAAATAAAACATCTGTTCACCTCACAGATTGTTCCTTTTGCTGAGAAGAAACTTCAGTTTGAATCCATCCCATTTATTGATTCTTGGTTTTAATTCTAGTGTTATAGGAATGTTATTAAGGAAGTTGAGGCCTAATCCCACATGATGAAGATCAGGGCCTACTTTTTCTTCTATTAGACACAGAGTCTCTGGTCTAATTCCTAGGTCCTCGATCCATTTTGAGTTAAGTTTTATGCATGGTGAGAGATAAGGGTTTAATTTCATTTTGTTGCATATGGATTTCCAGTTTTCCCAGCACCATTTGTTGAAGAGGCTATCTTTTCTCCAATGCATGTTTTTGGCACCTTTGTCTAATATAAGATGACTGTAATTTTGTGGGTTAGTCTCTGTGTCCTCTATTCTGTACCATTGGTCTACCAGTCTGTTTTGGTGCCAATACCATGCTGTTTTTGTTACTTCTGCTCTGCAGTATTGTTTAAGGTCTGGTATAGTGATGCCACCTGCTTTGCTCTTCCTGCTAAGGATTGCTTTAGTTATTCTGGGTCTCTTATTTTTCCAGATGAATTTCATGATTTTTTTTTTATTTTTTTGAAGAATGCCACTGGGATTTTGATCGGAATTGCATCAAATCTGTATAGTACTTTTGGTAGTATGGTCATTTTGATAATATTAATTCTGCCTATTCAAGAGCAAGGTAGATCTTTCCATCTTCTAAGGTTTTGATTTCTCTCTTTAGGGTTCTGTAGTTTTCACTGTATATATCTTTCACCTCTTTTGTTAAGTTGATTCCCAAGTATCTTAGAGAAAATTTTTACCCCTCACACATCAGATAGAACACTAATCTCTAGGATATATAAAGAATTCAAAAAGCTAAGCACCAAAAAAAACAAATAACTCAATCAACAAATGGGCCAAGGACCTGAACAGACACTTCTCAGAAGAGGATATACAATCAATTAACAAATATATGAAAAAATGCTTATAATTTCTTATAAAATGCTTGTACTCTGTATGTGTAATAAGCAATCAGAGAAATGCAAATAAAAATTAAGATATCATCTCGCCCCAGTCAGAGTGGCAGCTATTATGAAGACAAACAACAATAAGTGCTGGAGAGGATGTGGGGAAAAAGGTACACTCATACACTGTTGGTGGGAGTGCAAATTGGTACAGCCAATTTGAAAAGCAGTATGGAGATTCCTTGGAAATCTGGGAATGGAACCACCATTTGACCCAGCTATCCCTCTCCTTGGACTATACCCAAAGGACTTAAAAACAACATACTACAGGGACACAGCCACATCAATGTTTATAGCAGCACAATTCACAATAGCTAAACTGTGGCGCCAACCTAGATGTCCTTCAGTGGATGAATGGATTAAAAAAATGTGGCATATATACACAATGGAATTTTACTCAGCATTAAAAGAGAATAAAATCATGGCATATGCAGGTAAATGGATGGTGTTGAAGAAGATAATGCTAAGTGAAGTTAGCCAATCCCCCAAAAACAAATGCCTAATGTTTTCTCTGATAATAAGGAGGCTGACTCATAGTGGGGTAGGGAGGGGGAACATGGGAAGATTCGATGAATTCTAGATAGGGAAGAGGGATGGGAGGGAAAGGGAGGGGGCAGGGGATTAGCAAAGGTGGTGGAATGTGATGGACTTCATTATCCAAAGTACATGTATGAAGACTCGAATTAGGTGTCAACATACTTTATCTATAAACAGATATGAAAAATTGTGATATATATGTGTAATAAGAATTATAATGCAAAAAAGTACATGTATAAAGGCATAAATTGGCATGAACATACTCTATATACAAAAATATGAAAAATTGTACTCTGTATGTGTAATAACTGTAATGCATTCCGCTGTCGTGTATTTAAAAAAAAAAACCAATAAAACTAAAAAAAAAAAAAATCAACATTCTCAGCAGAATTTAAATAAGACAGTCCCAAAATATAACATTCAAAATGTTCATAAAACAATCCAGAATTTATTATTCATCATATATGGCATCAATAAATCTCAATTCATATGAAAAATTAATTAATAGATGCCAATTCTTCAATGATGTAAATGTTAAAATTATCTAAGACTTTGAAATGTAAAAATGCTCCAAAAGTCATAGCAAACATTTGAAACCACTAGAAAGAATAGAAAATGTCAGCAAAGAAATAGAAGATAAAATGAAGAATCAATTAGAAATTTTAGAACTGAAAAATACAGAACAGCAACAAAAAAACTCAACTACTAAATTATGACCTAATGGTATACAATCCAGGAAAATTCCTGTTCTGTAATACATTCAATTTTTCAAAAAAGATTTACCTGCTTAGGAACTGATGAATAATCAACTGTAGTTGGTAAAGTTATTTGGTCTCCACTTAATTTCCTTCCTCTGCCAGATCTGAAATAATCCATGAAATAATTTATTTCAAGAACAAAATAAGAAGAGGTGAAAAGCATTATAGACAGTAATTTAAGGCTTATAATTATTGATTTTAGTAATTAACTATTGCTCATCAAGCTATGAGGAAAATAAAAAGCATGAATCACAGATCTTGTGAATGTCTTTAAAATCTTACAAAAACAGCTGCTTTTCGGGTTTAGGACTCATAATTATAAATTAAGGAGAAATATAAAGTCAAAAACAAAGATACAAGGTAGTTTCAAACCATGCTCCTTAGAGTGCTATGGGTTCTATAGATGAAGCTATGGGCCATCTATGCTATTATCAGCATGTGGATAGGCTTTTTATGTTTTACATACTGAGTTCTTGGTAAGACTAACTATTAAGTTTGAAAATCTCTAGATTAAACTAAATTATAAACTGAGTTTTAATGATTAATAGAAAAAGTACTACATTAATTGGACATATTGTTACTCAACTGTTAAGGAAATGGGCTCCAGACAATTTACTGGGAAGGTGGGCTTTGGAATCTGTGTAAACTATGGTTTGCAATGTTACTTCTCAATAGAAGTAACCTCTTAGTTCCAATACCCTCTGTAAAATGCAGGTATTCAAGCCTGCTTTTGTAAGATTGTTGTGAAGATTTAATTGACATGTTTAAACCCACACAATGCCTGCTACATAGAAAGGCATTCAAAAACTCTGGTAGCTATAACAAACAACTAGTCATTTGCTTAATTTCAAGTAATCTATAAACTATCTCCTTAGTGCTAATTGGTAAAGACAGTTATCAAGTTTAGAAGTTATACATTATTTGTTTAAAGAATTAATACAGAAGTACTATAGTCCATTACAAAATTTATGACAAAAGCCTGGTGTTTTATAACACATAATCTATGTTCTTTTTGACATTTAAAAGAGGTTTATCTTAACAAAGAGTTGGTTTTCATTAAAACTGAACATATAATTAATCCTAAATATATTTATATTGACCACAGAAATTTATAGTGATAACAGGAAAATCCTTAATAGTTAAAATCAAATGCAGTTTCTTATTCTAAAACTAATTGATATTGACCAAAATTTTTAGAAATTACAAATACAAAAAGAAAACACCTATAATTCATCACAGTGTTAATACAATGCTTCTTTTAACATTCTGGTAATTAATATTCATTCTTATTCTGGTTTACATAGTGAATTTCTCACCCATTCTCCTTTATTCTTGATAACTTGAGTACTTCGTTCACTGTTTTTTCTAATTCCCAAATCCTGTGCTCTTGGGTGATTTCAACAGTCAACCACCTAAATTTTCCATTTCTTTTTTCATTTCTCTTGTAGTGATAATCTCTATTTCATCATCTCATTCCCACAGCAATACGTTTTTCCTCAACTGCAGACCACTCTACTTCTACCAATAAATTCAATGGCACTTAATTCTTTTAGCAGCTACCAAATGGCCATTTAGCTAAATATTATATTTCCCAGCCTACTTTGGATCTAGATGGCTATCTATATAGCTAAACTCCAGACAGTGGGAACAGAATCGTTGTGTGCAACTTCTAAATCTATCTACTAAAAAGACAGCTGATTATCATACACTTCCTATTTTATTCCACTTTATTCTTAGTGTGTCAGTAATTTTTTTCACAGTACTCCTAGGCCAAAATAAATATCAACTGTTCCTCTGATTAACCAGTTAGACACAAACAACTTAATACTTATATAGGTCCTACGTGCTTAGCTACCATTAAAAAGTCAGTTGAGAAAAACAATACACATAAATTTAAAGAAAATGTAGTTTTATTTTTAATGAAATAAAATTCCTTATTAATGCAATGTATGTGCCTGTTGGACACTGTGTAGCTTCTCAAGCACTTAATTAAATTAGGCACTGCCACCTTCATTTTCTGCTCTACATTTATTTTGGTGTAGTATATGATTTTAATTACAACCTAAAAACCTAACTTTGCAAAGATACCTCACCAAACATACAAGTAAACAAAAATTTGTTTTCAGTGTTAAAAGCGATCCATCATAAGTTTAGAATGCTGCTGGATGTCATGCTGCAAATAGAAACTACCTTGAGTGATGAATTCATGCAGTATTCAACAGGTACTATATCACTATGTTTCACTGGAGTTTAAAATATTTTGTAGCACCCTATAAGAAGCTCTGTGGCACCTTAGCACATGGGTTAGAAGGCATAGCTCTAGGGTATGTTCATGTGACATAGAGAAGGAACTGGAATTTATGGATAATGGATAACCTACTGATGCTGAATAAATTACCTGCTTTGGACCACCTGCATATTTTGGAATATTATTTAAGAAATAAAAAAATCTATTTAATTTAGGGTCTCTGTTAAATTTTTTTACTAATACAAAACAACATTCCTATATTAGTATAGACAGAAATACCTATGCCTAATTTCACTGAACCACCTTAAAACATTCCAATAATAAAACATTACATAAAATTTCTGTGATGATTATAATAATGAAAGTCAGCCTGCTTATTTCTAAAATTCTATAGTATTAAGCATGTTATTTAAATGGAAGATTTAAGAATTTGAACAAACAAAAACAATTAACTTCACTTTCTAGATCTCAAATAGAAAAACAATATTTTTTAAAATACTAGAAATTAATGAACAAATATTACAATCAAGAGAGTGTAAACAGAATCTCTTCTACATTTCTGAAGTTATAAAGGAATTCAAAACTAGTTAGAAGATAAACAGGTCAGTTTGAATATAAAATTTACTTACCTGCATATTAATCTTTTTAGGAATGAGAATACTGTTGCTAGGCAGGTACAAACTTTAAATAGCCGAAACTGAGTGATAGCCATGATGAGAATTAAAACCTTCAAAAAAAAAAGGGTACACATACCCAAAAGCATTAGATGATTTCATACACCATATTCCTATTCTTAAATCAAGTTGGAAAGTACTTATGCACTGAGAAAACTCTTACATATTTTAACTTTTCTCTAGAAGCTACAAATATAACACAATAAATTTTATTGAAGTGTAAATAATATTAACAGCTTTAGAAATTAGGTTTCTAAAGAGTTTTTTAGTTTGTGAAAAAATCCTTTAACACTTTTTATAAATAATTTTGCTTAAATAATCTATTTAGCACAAATTTACTTACAATTTTAGAATTCAAAAAAGTATAAGTATATATTAAATCTTTTTGTACCTTTAGAATTTTGAACTATATGAGTATAGCACTATTCGAAATATATTAAACACTTTAATCTTCAGGTAGATTTTGTTATATCCATTTTATAAATTCAAACTGAATTAAGTCCCATAGTTTATGAATTAAAAAGCAACCAAAGAGCTCATCTAGTACAGTGGTTCACAAATCTGGAGATCTGGTCAAAGAAATATTGATACCTAGGCCTATCCCTTAATAAGCAAATTAAATCATTTTATGAAGGGTAAAGTCTGGTCACTGCCAATAAGCTAATAAAAGAGATAAAAACTTATTCTATAGAAAAGACAACAAAAAACAAGGGAAGGAGGAACAAATGACAGTAAGAAAATTTGAAAATAAATTGCAAGATGATAACTGCAAATTACCTAACATTCCAACAAAAAGGCAGAGGTTGCTACGTTGAATAAAAAAGGAAGACCCCAGTATATGTGGCCCACAAGAAATGCATTTTAATATCAAGATATAAATATGTTAAAAGGATGGTGAAACTATACTATGCTAACACTAATCAAAAGAAAGCTGATAGGACTACTTTAATGTCAAATAAGACTTTACAGAAAGCAATATTACCAGGTAAAAAAGTCATTTGACAATCATAAAGGGGCCACTCAATCATAAGTACATTTTAATATAAAACATGTCAAAAACTTTGCCAGTATCTTTTGTGAGAGAGATTATATAATTAGGGCTAACAGATACTAAAAGGATAATGAGAAAACATTATAAGCAACATTATGACTATATTTTACAAATGAGATGAAACAAGTAAATTCCATTTAAGATATCAAAGTACAAGAAGAAATAGACAACCTAAAAATCTCATATCTATTAAAGAAGTTTGATTTATAGTTTAAAAACTTCCAGGTCTAGATGGCTTCACTATTGAGTTCTACCATATACGAATGTTTAATACCAATTTCACAGGAACTGACAAAAAACTGAAAAAGAATATTTCCCAACTCATTATTTGATATCAGCATTACATGGATACTAATCTAGACAAAGACATTACCAGAAAAAAATAGAGATTAATATCTTAAGAATATAGAAGGCAAAACTGCTTTAACAAAATACTGATAAATTGAATACAACCATACATAAAAAGACTACATCATGACCAAGTTGAGCTCAGCTCAGATTGCAGGACTGATTTAACATTCAAAAATCAAAAATAATTCATGATATTAGCATACTGAAAAACATTTCAGTAGAGACAGAAAAGCCCTTTAACAAAATTCAACATCCATTTCTGATAAAAACTCGGAGGAACTAGGAATAGAAAGAAACTTTCTCAACCTGGTTAACAACATCTATATATGTATTTAAAAAAACCTACAGAAATATGAGAGTAAATGTGTAAAAACTATACCCATCACCCTAAAATCATGAACAACTCAAGTATGTTCCACTTATACCATTTCTACTAAACACTGTAGGGGAGGTTCTGGCAAAAGTAAAAAAGGAAGGAAGGGAAGGGGTTTCGATTAGAAAGAAAGAAAACTGTCTATGAAGAAAATTCGTGAACTCTACAATCAATTGTATTGTTATATTTAACAACAATCAGGAAAAACTGTGTAGAGCATCAATAAATATGATACCTAGGGACAATTCTAATGAAAGATCTGCACACCAAAGAATGACCAAGTATTGCTGAGAGAAATTTAAAAGACCTGCATTAATTTAAAAAGACTTTTAAATTAAATTTTATTTTTTAAATTTTAAATTAATTTTAAATTTTAAATTAAAGACTCAATATTGTTAAGGTATCAAGGCTCCCCAAATTGATCTTTAGATTTGATGCAATCCAAATGAAAATCTCTGTAGGTTTTTTTCTCTAAGTTGACAAGTTAATTCTGAAACTTATATGGAAATGCAAAGAACATATAATTGCAAAAAAAAAAAAAAAAACTGAAAAAGAATATGTTCAAGGATTAACACTACCAGATTTTTAAGACCTGTTATAAAACTACAATAAACAAAACTGTATAGAACTGGAGTCAATATATACAAATAGATGGATGAAAAGTACAGAGACAGACCCACATAAAAAAGAACTGAAATTTGACAAAGATGAAAAGAAAAGTTCAGGGGAAAAGGATAGTTTTTCCAACAAATAGTGCTGGAAAAACTGGGTATTCATATGCAAACAACAACAAAAAACTTTGATTATATCTCACACTATTAACAAACAATAACTCAAAATATTATAGACCTAATGTAAAATCTGAAGCTACAAAGTTGTAAAAAAAAAAAAAAAACATTTGTGACTCTAGAATAGAAAGATATTTTAGATTTTTATTTTAAAATAAATACATAAAATGATGGTCAACATCATTAATTATCATAGAAATATAAATTAAAAACACAGCTAGAACCTACTTACACACCTAATTAGAATTGCTTAAACTAAAAATAATGACCATACCAAATACCGGCAAGGATGTAGAGCAACTGGAACTCTCCCACATCAGTAGTGGGAAAGTAAAATGGTACAAAGTTTTTCTTAACTTCTTACAAACTCAAACAAACATAGATAAAGAAAAACACAAGATAAATAAAAGACATGCCCATACAAAGAATTTTACTTGATAGCAGCTTTATTTTTAATAGTTCTAAACAAGAAACAACCTAACTGTATATCAACAGGTAAATGAACCAATTGTGGTATATATATATGTTCAACAATAAAAATGAATGAGCTATTGTTATAGTAATAGCATAAATATGTCTCAGAATAATTATACCAAAATAAAGATATCCCAAAAAAATATATACTGTATGATTCTATATACTTAAAAAACACTCTAGAAAATGCAAACAAGTATATAATAACAGGAAGCATAACACTAGTGCTTTCGGATAAGGGCAGGGAGAGGTGGAAAGGATAGATTACTGAGGAGCAGGAGAATATTTCAGAGATAATACATATATTTTTTAAAGTGGTGACAGCTTCAGGGACATGTATTTATCCATCAAAACTAACCGAATCATACGATAAGTGCAATTTCTATAATTCAATTATAGCTCATACAAGCTCTCAAAACAGTCTATACTGAGACATTTTTGGACAACATTATACCATATAAATTAGAAAATTTTTCAAATTGTGGTGTGAAACTCAAAAATTTAACATTATCTTATATTTATTATTTGCTATTCTTTCTGGAGAGCCAATTTCCATTAGGAAACTATGGCAATTAGTAATAAACACATTTCCAGATTTATCTAGGAACTGTAATTTCACAATAGATTTCAATACACTATACTAACTCTTACTATATAATAAGCATTTTTAAATGCTTTACATGGTATAATTCAGTTAATACTCACAATATCACTGTGAAGGACTTGAAACAAGTACTTTTGATCCCTATTTTAGATAGGGAAGCTGAAGTACAAGGGAGTCAAATAAGCTGGCCAAAGTCACAGAACTGATAAAATCCAGAACTAGGATTTGAACCTAATTTCCAGAGTCTGAATCCTTACAGATCACACTCAAAGTCCCTCCCCACTGTAATTAAATAAAGACATTATATACATTTATATATATATATATATATATATATATAAAAGAAATGCTACAGGAACTGAAAACTAATTAAACCTATAGCAATAGAAAAACTCTAAAAAACGGTAAAACCGGTATTATTTTGCCAGCCTTTTAAATATCATTGATTTCACATATTTCTTTACACATCGGAGTTAACTATACCATATATGTATTGCATATATTCCCTTAATAGTCACTATTTATTTTAAGATTACATAAAATGAGTTTTAGCACAAATTAAATTTGACTAAATTAATTAAGTAATCTTGAATACTCCTATTCAGGGTCTCAAAAAATGCAAAAGAGGAGAAAGGCAAATAAAATCTGTTAATGCACAGGAGACAGCCTTTTCCCACTATTGAGGAGGAGATCACACATTAAATCAAGTCACAAGACATACACAGGCATATACACACACACATATACACACAGGAAATGTTTCTGATAAAGGAATTTCATATTTTAGCTTTTCCTTGTTCTTTTGTCAGGAGGAACATTACTGAGTACACATTTAGAACCATGATTCCTGTGTTGGATTAACTTGATAATATATGTCATCCAACTTCTTAATTTCCCAAGCGAGGAAAAAAAAAGTTAACTGTGGTACTCAAGTTAAAGCAACTAAGTAATAACAGTCATAACTAAAAATCACTGGTCTCCCAGTCCATTATTAACATCTTTAGAAATAATTACTATAGTTGGCCAATAGGAGTATTTGAAATAGTGATTTCCTACAAGGGGAAAAATAAAAAAATTTTAATGTTTTTTCCCCCAAATAAAAAAATAATATAATTTGGACTTCAGTTCTATACAAATTTACTTAAAAGGGAATGAAACCAAAACTTAAATAACAATTATCATGTAAGCACATTAAAGAGACAGCTATATGTTTCTCCTCAAACTGAAATACTGATTCATTTTTTAAAATTACTTTATATAAGATAAGCAATAATATCTGTAAAAATAACAAGGACTAAATTCCTATATAAACACCAATCCTATACTATTAATAACATGCTGTTTTAAAACTAATTCATAGGAATTAAAGCAGAGAGCACTGTCTCGTTTTAATTACTAGTATGTGAGTTGAACATCTCTAATCTGAAGTTTTAAATCTGATATGAGTGCCACATAGAAATTTCACCATAATATTTTATTTAATACACAAAATTACCCTTGGGCAATGTGTATAAGGTATATATGAAACAAATGAATTTTAGGTTTAAACATGGTTCTCATCCTCAAGATATTACATTTTGTGTATGCAAAGATTCCAACCTTCCTTCTCTCCCCAAACAAAATCTAAAATCTAAAATACTGGTCCCATGTATTTTGGATAAAGGATATTCTACCTACATAAACAGTAATCTCTTAAGTTCTTGAAAACAGCATATAATAATGTTTTCTAAACTAACATAATATTTCCTTGCATGGTTTAAAATTTTAATAATAAAAATTAATGGTCATCTCTGAGAGGGAGCATGGGAGCATTAAGAAATTAAGATCTTCATCTCAACCTGGGTGGTAATACCAATATTTACTTTACTATATATATAGTTTATATATTAGACCTCAACAGAAAAGTTCAAAACACACACAACACACAAAACAAACCAGAAAGCAAGGAAAATAGACTTAGTTCTCATGGTACCTGATCTTGATTGCTCTCTAGAGCCATTACTGATAGCTCTAAGAAAAACAAAACATACAGCTAGTTCTTTCTATTTCCAGGGCTAAAAAGGAGCTTATAGACTATCAAATGTACAGTGGTAGAGCTCCAAAAGAATCTGAAAGCAATGCTCATATATTTTTGTATATATGGAAGCTGTCTCATCATGAGGTGATTTACTTAAAGTCTGTGCTAGAGAGGGCCTACTAATCGAGAAGTTAGAAACAACAATGACTCCTAAAGAAAGTAAACTAGGAGATTATTACAAATTTCAGTGTTCATGTTATTTAAATACTTCTGCCAAATACATTTTCAACCAATGGTTTACCAACATTTAAAATTAAAACAATATTAACTCCTTTTCTCTCATGTTGGCTTACATTCTAACTGCCAAAAAGACCTTACTGAAATTTACAAATATTGCCCATATTATTTCCTATTTCCACTGAAACTTGCCTGGCAAAAGCTTTTATTACCTCTTACTGGACTAAGGTGATGTCTTTTAATTCCGTTTTCTCTAAGAAACCCACATTTTCTAGATTGTACTATAGTTACTACTATATTATATCCTTACCTGTCCTGCATAATCCTTCTCCACAAGATTCTATTCACCTGCACCTTTAGTTAACTTTTTGCAAAAACTTGAAAGGTTTCAATTGCTTCATTATGAGTAGAATGATCTGAATAAGATGGCAAGAGCTTAATTTCAAGCTGATTTGTTAACAATATAACTCAACCAAAATAAAAGCAAACTTCCCCAAATGACAGTTTAACAGAAATTTTAAGAAAAAAAAAAAAAACATATAAAAGGCAGCTAATAGAAAGATTAAAGCATGTGGCAGTTGGTGAGAAAGAAAAGAAAACCAAAGAGATACTCCAGCAAGACTTTTGAAAGAAGACACTATTTAGGTAATGGGAACAAGGGCTGATCTCAGAATATATATGGATAAAAAGATGAAAACAAATTTCATACAGAGCTTGGTAACTACAGCCATTACCTTCCTACAAATACTGTTGGTGTCATTATTAGATAAGTATTTGTCCACTTGAATTATTCCAACAATAACAGGAAATAAAATTTGAAGTTTTTTTCCAATAGAAAAACAGAAAATTGTACTATTGCTGATTACAGAATAGAATTCCTTCCATTGCAATTAAGAATAGCCTCATTCTATGGAGAATTTGTTTTGTGGTTAGTGAGAGAAGAGAACTAATAGTCATTGACCATCATCATCTTAATATTACCTCATGTAATGTACAAAACCATCGTGAGGTTTTGTTTTATTTTGTGCCAGGGATTGAACCCAGGAGAACTTTACCACTAAGCCACATCCCCAATCCTTTTTTATTTTTTGAGATAGGTCTTGCCAAGTTGCTTTGGCCCTCACTAAGTTGCTGAGGCTGGTGATTACAGGTGTGTGCCATGGCACCCAGCCATCATGAGATATTACTGTTCTTATTTCATAGAACTGAAGCACAGAGAGTAAAGACATTTCCATATTCCTCTATCCAAAGACTTGTATTCAAGCCTAGATTGACTTAATTCAGCAATCAAGAATAAATCACCAAAGGGTTAGGAAAGTGGCTTAATGGCCAAGTGTTTGCCTCACAGGCATGAACCCCTGGGTCTGATCCCCAGAACCACAAAACAAGATGACTAACCAAAAAACAAACAAACAAAAAGCCTTAAATAAGAATAACTCCCCTAAAAATAAACATTTTTAGTAATTCAGTGAAGATATTATAATTTCCAAGATAAAATTTCCAAACAGTTGCAATGAAATGGGAAAATGCAATCAAGCTATCAACCGACACTTCAGATTTTAATAATTACCCTGATTTGCAGACAGGAATATTCTTCTAGACTTGTATTTACTTAAAGTTACAAATCAATTAAAGGACTAAAAATATTACTGTGTAACAGACACTACATTGCACACTGGAAAACACTCCCAGGCCAGCACACAGAAACCTTGCATCAGCTGCTAAACTATCATGAACTTGAATGCATACTTACTCCTCCTATTGATTACAAAGGGGCTAAGGAGGTAGAACCCCATTAGTGATGCTCAGTTGATATTTCTAGGTTTTAGACAATGCCCAATACATAGTAGGTACTCAGATATTTCTTGAATGAAAAGAAATAAACATTCTTGAAACACTGATCTATTCAAGACATAGTTCTTGGCCATGTATGTTCTTCCACTTCACTGGAATCATAATGATGACCAAAAAAGGCTGGTGTCTCTATTCCCATTTCAATTGGAAATGGAGGTCAACAATTGGCCTGGGTGAGTGAGGCACAGAATCAGGCACCCAGGATTTAAAGAGACTGATGAACCCAAGTCCCAGCTCTCTCCACATCATATTCCAAAACTTTTAATTTTGTACCCATTGCTTCAAGTATGATTTTTGAAAAGCCGTCAAATAATAAATTTGATTAAGTATGTATCTTAGACTTAGCAGTTTGGTTGCTTTACAACACTTTCTGGGACTAAGCAATACTATTAACCTATTAAATTTTCCTTAATAATTACTAGGAAGATACAGAAACTTGAGATATAGCAAAGTAAATTTCAGGACTATGAAACAACTTATCTTCAGAGCTTTTGAAAATAATGACATCTCTAGGAAATCAAAAGGAATGAGAGTTCTGCTGCGTCAAAACATTTTTCCTACAATAAAAAGTATTATCTAACAGCAAATGATAGATCAAAGACATCTTTCCTTCTCGTAATTCTCAATAAACCGCTCGAAATCCCATGGTGTAGATCCACTCTGTCACGATTCATTAAACAAGCCAGCCAATCTGTTTCTTACACACTGAACAAGTCGTCAAGTGCTGTATTTCCAAAACTACATTTCTGAATCTTTTCATACCAACGCTTGAAAAACCATATAATCAAGTACGAGAGGGAAATATCCTCTAATTAAATCTGTAATTCTCTAAAGTAGCTTAAAGGAAAGCTTCAAAAAGATAAAATTTACCTGGACTCACTTGAATTTGAAAAAGAAGGGTTCAGCAGTAGCAGCAAGTAAGAAAAGCGGAAACAGGAGTGGAGTGTGAGAGCTGGCTGTAAAAGCCAACATTCTGTACCATCTGTGGCAACTGTAAGTTCAGGCCCTCAATGTGACACCACTGGGACTGTTAGCAAGGGGTACGTCTCCTAGAAGTCTAAATTGAGTTTCATAACTAAAATGGTTTAATTTCAGATCCCCCACCTAAAACTGGTTGATGGGGGAAAATCACACCCACTGCACAGATGAGAAAAAGTGCGCGCTTTCAGGTCACACGTCCCACGCCCTGCGCACCGCGTTATGAGGAACGCTCACGGTTCCCGGAGGTGGGTGCCCGGTGGGCTGGGACGTGGACTGTGGGCAAATCGGCCTTGAGAGGTGCGAGGCCTCTAGAGAGGGCAGGTAGGACCGGCGAATTTCCCTCCTGGGACGGGTATTTCAACATTGGGGGTGTTCCGGGCCGGTGCCTCACAGGCCCGTCTCCCACGCGTGAGCGCGCCATGGCAAGGGCTACAAGCCGAACCGGCTCCTGGTCGCGCTTCCCGCATCCCAGAGGTCACCCTGACCCGGAAACAGTACCCTAGAGCGGCGGTCGGCCGTGGGGGGAGGCGAGCTGGAGGGGCGCAAAGAAAGGAGGGAGGGCGGGAAGTGGGGGGCGAGATAGAGGGCTGACGGGGAAGGGCAGGTGACACCCTAGGGCTGGGGCTGGGGTCGAGGTGGGGATTGGGAGAGGAAAGCCCCTCGCGGGCGCGCGCAAGCCAATACACTCACCTGCCCCTCCCCCTCCCCGCCCGGCGGAGGCTCCGAGCTGCCGCGGGCCGCGCGCGCACACGAGGCGCGCGCGCGCTGCCGTTCGTTTCTTTGAGCTCGCGCTCCGCCTTTTCAGTCCCAGCCCCGCTCATTCAAAGACGGGCGCGCGCTCCGTCGCAGCCGCCGTTGCCGCCGCGCAGCTGCCATGGCCGTCCCCTCTTCGGGAAACCCTCCCCCAGCCCCTCCCTCTCGCCCTCCTTGAAGGCGGCTCTCGGTTGTCTCCAGGCGCTCACTTCCGCACCCCGCCCCAGCTGCTGTCTGGTCCAATAGGCAAGAAGCTGTGGGTCTGGCGTCGGAACTGGAAGCCAATGAATGTCGAGGGGCGGGGTGAGCGGCGGCCTGCCTGCGGAGGTTTGGTCGCGGTTGGGTTTTTGTGACTGTTGTAAATTGTGTGGGCTTCTTCACTGGAGCTCCTGGGTTTGCGCTAAGTTGTTCTACTTTCCTTATGTGTACAGTGCCTCCCAATCAAACCCTTTTCTTTTCTGTCCCACCCACAGAATCCTAATGCCAGACGGTACTAAGGAAAGGAGCATCTATTTTGCCAAAAAATGAGAGCGTCCCCCTCTGTCCCAGCATATTTGGGATGTGGCCAGGACAAAGCCTAGTCCTGAGGGATGCTAAATGCTGAGTTTCATTCATTGGCCTCTTCCGCTTTTTTTTTTTTTTTTTTTTTACTAAATTTTCTTTTTTAAAAAACTATATATATTTTTCTAGTTGTAGATGGACACAATCCCTTTATTTTATATATTTGTTTTTTACGTGGTGCTGAGAATGGAACCCAGTGCCTCACATGTGCAAGGCAAGTGCTTTACCATTGAGCTACAACCCCAGCCCCCTAAATATTCTGCAACTGAAAGTAAAAACGTTATATTTCACTGAGTTCCTTCATTTGTACCTCTATTGCAACCAGGGCTGGCCATTCTGCCAAGTTGTGTCCTTTTAGTTGTTCTGTCTTTGCAACCTGATTTAATAATCATTAATAATAATCACCACCACCACCATCTTCTCCCCTCTCTTTCTCTCTTCTGTATTTTCTCTTATCCCATGCTTTAAAAACCTGGAGTTCTTTGCTCTTGTTGGCAAGGAACACTCAGAAAACTGTTGCAGATTGGTGAGGAAGGCTTGAAGTTTGTATGTGTGGTCGAATGCTGAAAACAGTTTATGCAAATTGTTGCTCCACTAGCTTTTTTTCTTCAAATACCTCTTTTTAAAAAAACGACTACTACTTTTGTTCTCTCACCCTGACCCAGCACTGACCTACTTGTCTTTGTAGTAATCTTCCTCCACCTTCCCCACTCCAACCTACTCCACATTTCTATTAATTATTATTTTTATCTCCAAGGAAGGAAGTGAATTTAACTCTTACTCAGGTTCTGTGTAAACATAGATAAATTATTTAATCCCTTAGCCTCAGTTTCCCATCAGTAAAATAGTGCCTACTTCATAGATTGCTAATGCTTTCAAAGTTGTTAGCACATAGCAGGTATTCACAGATAATAGCTGTTACTGCATTACTGGTATTACACTACATCTTTTAACTGTAGCTCCCCAAATCCATGAAATTCTCTGTGGTCCCTTAACTGCCTGCTCTAACTTTTATATCTTATTTTGCCTAAATTCCAATAATCTGAAATTTCAAATACTTTTTGGATTCCCCAAATCCAATAATCTTCACAGCAAAAAAAATTAAACCAGGGATTGAACCCAGGTATGCTCTTCCATGGAGCCAAGTCCCTATCTCTCTTTATTTTCTTTTTTTTAAATTTTGAGACCGGGTCTCACCCAGTTACTTAAGGCCTCACTAAATTGACAAAACTGGTTTTGAACTTGCTATCCTCCTGCCTTAGCTTCTGGAGCCGCTGAGATTAGAGACATGCATCAATGCACCTGGCTATAAATATTTCCAGTTTTTTTCCTTGAAGACTTATATCTTGGCTTCATGTGCCCCATGGCATTTTCTTTCTTTCATGATTCTACAATTTTCTTTATTAAATTTGCCACTTCCACATGAAACAAAACAAAGATATGTTTCTGGAGAAACAATTAGTTACAGAATACTTATTTCCCAACACAATAACAAATAGAGAACAACAAGGCTTGCTAAGGATTTCAACAAGTTTTATATTAGAAATACCTATGAAAGAATATTTTTAAGTCTTCTTTACTTGTTGAGTGGTAACCCCATAATTGGAGATTATGGATGTCAGTAATTTGGAATCTTGCTTGGGGATCACCTCTTTGGAATGTGCAGTCTTGTCCTTTGCCCAAACCTGTGGGAGCATCTGCAGGGCAGCACCAAATGTCAAATGGGAGAAACATAAAGGATAGAACTTAGTTTATGAAAAAATAATGAAAATGAAAGAACTTAGTAAGTGAAAGATATTTTTCTGGATTACTTATACTCATGGGGTATAGTTAATTCTGCCTTCTCTGTGCACAAACTATTTTAGCCACTTTAAAGTATCTGATCAGCCTCTGCCCATCTCCAGTTTGATTTATTTGGGCTATTAGCTTTTAAGCCACATCTTAGTCTCCCTCTTCAAAGCCTGCATAGTCTTTGTTGTTCTGAGTTCTCCAGCTGGTGCTGATTCCTATATGGTCAACTGACCCTGCCTAAGAGGTTGGAGCAGACCTTGAAAACACAGTTCTGTGCTTACAGATTTTCCTCAGACCCAGTTCCCTGGCTCTTCACCAAAGGTGTTGGTTTTGGGTTTTTTTTCCCCCCTCTGCTCAAGCACAATTTAGACCTGCTGTTCTGACTTGGACTTTAATGGGTTTTTATTAATGAGCAGCTGTTCATGATTGAATACAAATCATAAAGTCATTTTTTTGATCAAGCAAAATAAAACCTTGCAGCTCATTAGAGTGATGGCTTTGAACAGATACATTTGAAAGTATAGAATTTTCTGATGATAATTTTAATGGATAAGTTTTATTGCTCTTTCTACTAGAGAAATGTCCTTGCTTTCAAAATAATAAACTTTAATATTCTGGAAAATTGTATGATTTTTTATATTGAAAATCACCATTTAATAGTTAAAGTCAATTGCTTAATAAAGAAACGAGTCTGAAGAAGGCTTTTAATTTCTGTGCCACTAAATGAAAATTAACTTTCCATGAAACATTTAAGTAAATATTTTCCATCATAATTGTTACCACAATCAGTAGTTTTTATTGCTTAATACAAGACCCAAGATTTAAGAAAAGTTTGAGAGTTAACTAGTTCCTTCAAAAGGGACCTGCATTGAAATGGGGGGGAAATGCACTTTTCTTTTTTTTACTAGAAAAGTATTCAAATTAAAATATGGATGAATTCTCTTTCTATGTCCAGTAGTGAGATTCAGAAATGGAATACTACTTGGCTAATGTCCATATTTTTAAAAGAGCTATCATATAGTTCAGGTATATTATGATTTAAGTAGATTTGATATGAACAAGATCTGCAGTCTAAGACCTTTAATTATTTTTATTATTTCTAAGAATAAATATTTTTATTATTTCTAAGAATAAATGTGTTGAAATAATATAATCCATATTGTATACGAGTTGAAAATTTAAAACAATACTGAACTAACAATGGAAGACTCATCCCTTCAGCTTCACAACATGGTGGTCATTTCAACTGTGACCTTGAACAAGTTTGACTCAGTTTTCTCATGGGCAAAATTAGGTTTATAATTCCTTACGTGTGGATTTATTTTGCAAATTGAATGTCATAATGTATTGGAATTGTGTTGGAAACATAGTGATAAAATCAATGAAAGCTTCTAGTTATACAGGTTTATTATCTTCAAGTCCAGTAGAATCCTCTGGAGTTCATAAAAAGAAATGGTGCTTTCAAGAAAAATACAAGTAAATTTTCCTTCATCATCAACCAAATAAAGACATGTTTGTCAATATCTCATTAAAAAAGGGAAAAGGGAGGGAACAGTAAGCTTTGAAGCTGTAGCCAGAAATCAACCCTCTCCCCTTGGCCTCCTCCCACTCCTTTGACTTAAAAGTCATAGGATTGAAAAGAAGCTGTTAGGACTACAGCACTACAACACTTCCCTCTCTTCAGGCTTCTCTCATCATTCATAAGATATTTTTCTCATAAAAGCATTTACTGCCAAATTTTGTCTGTTCTTTCCGTGTTCATCATTTCAGCACATGAAGATTATCATAATGATCCCTAACTAGACTTGTATATTATTTTTTCATTCCTCTAAGTCATTTCAGTGCGTTGTTGTCCAATTACTCTAAATAATTTCAAAATACAGCCTTCTTTATGGTAACTTTTATTTTCAAGATTTGTTCACCACTGTCCA